TTATTTTTTAAGTCTTTCTCTGGTAAATTTGTTTGGTGGATGAGCTTTAATTTCCTTCACCTCTTGCATGGAAAACACTGCGGTTTGAGGCACAAGGGAGAATGCTAAACGCAAGCATTGTGCTATATTGCAGAGTTCCCAAAAGGGGATCAGGCTTTTTATATATTACATTGATCCTTTATCAGAGCAGGGAAACAGGTGTTTCCTTACTAACTCAATCAGTTTATCAACTTTTTCATTTGTTCTCGCTTAAAATAATTCCTCCCACCTCTGTGCGGATAACAAACACCTCTATACAAAATATTTAACACATTTAACCTTTAACACACATGTTTTGCTTTCACTACGAGTGGAAACAGATCCTGGATAATATGGGAAATCCTAGTAAATCTATGTTTGATATAAATGGAGTCCTGTAGCTCAGTGGTTAGAGCACTCGCTTTGCAAGTGAGAGACCGGAGTTCAATTCCAGGCAGGGCAAAACCTTGGGCAAGTTTCCTTACTCCACACGCCTAATAATAATCCCTCCAAAACCCAAAACAATAATAAATTGGTCATTTACAATCTACGACTGTTTGTGGGACATTGCTGTGCGCAATTGGCTGCCGCATTCGCCCACAAATATACAGTCAATTCACTTTACAGTATGTTCTGTGAAGCGCTTTGGGACGTCCTCCCGACGTGAAAAGCGCTATATCAAATGCAAGGATTATTATTATTATTATTATTATAAATAAACATGGTGCTGTTGTACTCCACAACCTATTTCGCTCTGTTATGTTATATATATGTAAATGTAAGGTTTTATTTTCCTCCAATGCTGGAATATTCTATTTCCACTTATATATAACACCTGCTATGGGTGTAGGTTTTGACAACCAAACCTGCGTTTCTATGAAATGTTCAGTTAACTATTCAACTAAAAGACTATTTTCCATCATTCTTCTTCCACTTGATTGTATAGTGGCTATACACAACTTATACAATTCTAAATGGACTATGGTCACCTCCGCAATGATAATCTTTGCATTTGATCTAACACATGGGAAGGATGTCTCAAAGCACTTCACAGGATTTACTATAAAGTGAAGTGGCTGTATTTTGTGAGCGAATATGAAAAACAATTTCCACACAGCAGTGTCCCATAAACAGCCATAATCAGTAATTATAATTGTTGCATTTGGTATAGTGCCTTTCACGTCAGGAGGACGTCTCAAAGTGCTTCACAGGATTTACTGTGAAGTGGAATGACTGTGAGCAAACCATGAAAGATTGACCAATTTGATCAATTTGAGAGACTCCTTTCTCTTTTCGAATAGTGCCATGGGATCATTAGTGTCCACTCAAACAGGCAGATGAGACCCCCACTACTATATTGGAGTGCTATAGTGTGAGCTCAAAGCCCTCACATGGGGCCTGATTCTGCAACCTTCTGATTCAGAGGCGAGACCTCTACCACCTGGAACAGGCTGACAATCGAGAGGATGGATTGGTTGAATCTGGTTGTGACATAATCGATCTGAATTATGCTTAAAGTTTAAAGCTTAAACAGGGTTTTTGTTTTGCTAGTGACTTTCTAAGTGTGCGGATACGAAACTACAGTATCTCCGCTGTTCCCAGTTAGCACATACAGAGCAGAAATAAATAGCAGATGCTGCTTTGACGGTCTAGTGGGTGAGGTGGGTGGGAGTAACTGGCATCTATGGAACTGTACACCACTTAAAGGCAAAATAAATGTATCAGAATGCCTGCGGGAGAGGTATTGGAGGAGAAAGGTTGGTGAGAAAAACAGCAGAACATAAAATGAATAAATAGCAGCTCACCTGACTAAAGTACAGCCTGTCCCACTCTTAAATAGCATCTCCTCGACTGTGGTAGCTGCAACACTGAATCCAGTTTACAGCAAGATAGCAGTGAGCATACAATACTACAAATAAGCAAAGTATTGTGCATGACTGACTGTGTTCTGCAAATATATTTCCAATGTATTTTTAATACATTCAAATGTATTAAAAATAAATCATTATGTATGGCTCGCACTCAGTGATTTTTCAAATGGCAGAACTGAGGGACATGATCCTGAATATTTTAGAAGCATGCTAATCTAAATCTGTCCAAAGGCTTTTCTGAAACAACTTTGTTTCCTCGATCTCACTTACCTCCTGTTCCATGCTTTGACCATAAATTTCGACATGAAGGCACAAAGCCAAAACAAATGCAGGCGAGCTACGGGAAGTCCAGTTGCTGTCATGCATATTTACACTGCAAACTTTAAAGTGATCAAAAATTGCAGCCTTTCCATCTGATTTATCAGCCTTCTTCACATTGGAAAATGGAGTCTTTCATGCAGCTGTAAGAAAGCAGACCTGAACAGTTAGGAATGAGTCACCTCTTTTAGAGGAGTATAACAAACATACTCTCGGGACTTTGTATTCCATTTCATTACATTATTTCACTCAATAATAATAATAATAATCCTTGCGTTTGATATAGCGCTTTTCACGTCGGGAGGACGTCCCAAAGCGCTTCACAGAATATACTGTAAAGTGAAATGACTGTATATTTGTGGGCGAACGCGGCAGCCAATAGCACACAGCAATGTCCCACAAACAGTCGTAGATTGAAAATGACCAATTTATTATTGTTTTTGGTTTTGGAGGGATTATTATCAAGGTCTTTCTGTTAAATCACAGGAAATAAATGATACTGAATGAATAGAAACTATAACATAAAATGCTTTAATTTACAGAAAAAATTGATAAAGGCACAAGCTGTCTGTGCTCAATGCACTTAAGCATGATCTCAACCGCTTTATTTGTACAATCAGTCAAATTTCACATCTGTGTGACATTCTGTGAATGAAGGACAAATGGTACAGATGTGCTTGACGGGCTCTTATTAAATTATATATACCTGTGTGGATTTTTAATCATTCAAGTACAGACCAAAGGAGGACTTCAAATATAACTTCAAACTTCAGAGTGATGAGCCACTTCAGAGATTAGCCGAAAGTCGTCATGCCAGCTCTAAATGCAATACTCCTAATCCTTGTATTCGATACTGCACTTTTATCAGTCCATTGAAACGTCTCAAAGCGCTTCACAGAATTTAGTGCAAAGTACAATGACTGTTTTTGCAGGTGAAAGTAGAAAGCCAATTTGCACACAGGAATGTCCAACAATGCACCATGAAGCAAATTACCAATTTTATTTTTCTCTTGGGTATTATTGCTCAGCACACTAGGAGAAATGCCCTTCACTTTTCAAATAGTAGTATCCTTAACATTCACCTAAATGGGCAGACCGGATTTGGGTTTTAACGTCTCATCCAATGGATAAGACCTCTGAGCTCAACTACGCTAGTTTGGTTAAGACTTCACTAGGTTTAGGTCGATTGAGATGAACATGAAACAGAACAGCAACCGAAGATGTTTTTTCTAAAAATGCAAAGTTGGTCTGAATAATGAAATGCACAATAATCATTGAAATGCACATCAATTTCGNTTTTTTTAAAGTGACTCAAGTTTCAAATCTAAATATAACCCATTACAAGTGGTTGCTGCAGTTCAGTGCAGGTATATTTCAATTACTTGGACTCATGTTATATTGTGATGTTTGGATGTGTTGTATTTTTGCAATTTTCTGCAAATGGAAGCACCTGGATGGAAACATTGATTTGTGAAAACCGGGTGATCGTTTTGCGTAATACTAAAACATAAAAGTAATGTCAAATTTCAATGCAATATTACCTTGGTATATTGCATAGAACAGTTTTCAATTTCCTTTAAAAATAAGTGAGTAACTGCATCTGTTATCTAGAACTAGATAAAGAACAATCCTTAATGGAAAAAATACAGGTTTTACGATGGTTAATAATAATAATCCTTGTATTTGATATAGTGCCTTATCTCAAAGTGCTTCACAGAATATATGGAAAAGTGAATTAACTATATTTTGTGGGTGAAAATAGTATTAATAGTACAAACATAGTCATAGGTGACCAGTAATGGAATAGTTCAAATATCAAAAATAATCCCTTAAATGGAAGGAAAATGTAAATTGTAATGCAGTTTAGAACCAATCATCCATTATTCTTCTTTATACTTAGTGAGCTCTAATTTGCTGGATTTCTTCATAGTCACAAACAAAGATTCCTGGTAAGTGGAAGTACATAATAACCTGGCTGATGACCTGTAACTATGACTCAATCTACTTCAGAGCTCCCACAGGTTGATGTTTATTCAATGGCTTTCTTAGTAAGAATGTTAACATTACACATGCACAAACCTGTATTGTATCTTTCAACATGAAGCTAGAGGGAATTAGGAATTGTTTGGCTGAGTGAATCAGTACATCGAATTGTTGGAGACACTGAGTGAAAAGCCTTGAAATTATTCTAATCTTTATCCATTTCAGTCTGATTCAAAAGCACTACAGATATTTGAATGACGTCAAAACTATGGAAAGAAAGAGTATGAAAAAAATGTACCTAATCTTAGGGATTACTTTAGCAGCAAGCAGCATCAGTAATACTGATTGTAGATGAAATGTCTTGTCTGAATATGTACAAAGAACCCTTCAGGAAAGTTTTGAATTACCACTAAAGGTTACACCATATATTTACAAATGTTACTGCATGCATTTTTAAGCCTTTCTTATTGCCCGAATCTGCAAATGCTTGAGTGTCCTGTAAGGTCTGTTGGTTGCGGTTATCCACAAAGCTAACAGAATCATAATGGGAAATAACATGTTATACCAAAAGGTCAGTCTTTCCTTGTCACTGCGTTGTTCTTTCATCTTATCGAATAAGGGTGATAGCTTTTCAGGTTTATCTTATCTGCAGTACAACAAAGCCTGGGCTTTACTAGTGCACAATAGAACTATAAAGGATCGCGTCTCACACAGTCAGTGAAGTATGAGCGCAGAATACCAATCATGCCTAACTCAATGTTGCATAGAAACTGTATGACATTAACCACACAAGACAGCAATATACATGGCATTTATTAATTTTTTTCAAGACTGGGTAGAACAACTATATTTGAAACAAGTCACCACAATAAGGAACGCAGTCATATATACAGGTCACCAGCAAAACTATTATTTTGACTGAAACTTGTCAATCTTGAAACAGTTCAACACTTCACTTGAGATGTTACAAAACCAATCAGTGAAGCAGTATATGTTTACAGCAGCTGCTGTTCTATTGAGGAGAGAAAGAAGAAGTAATGATGACTAGATTTGAAATGAACCAAACTGCTGCCAATTGTGATAACAAGGGGACAGTAAAGAAGGAGAGCGAGTTTCAAGTGGTCCAGCTTAAATCATAACAGTGAATTAACTCTGGTAAAAAACAGTGGTTCCACATTACAAACATATCATGGACAGCAGGTGAGGGGCTCCAAGATGCCACGCTGCGTAAAGGACGCTGTATATGTTGTTGTTGGACAGCTTCATTTTCACTGCATCTAAAGCAGTGCTGTGGCTCATGGTGTTCAACAATAATAAGGTAATGTGCATATAACTACATCATAACTGCGAAGAATTATGGGGATGAATTCCACCTAGATCTAGATATGCTCCTTTCTTTGTGTAGCATTTACAGAACTTGCCAAATTCTTAAATACAGGCTTCATTTTGAAGTTATTTTTCTATAAATCCCTTTAACGTATCCAGAAAAATGACTTCAAAGTTAAGACTGGATTCAAAATAATTTGCCAAAACTCTGGACCCTCTAATGGTACATAAATAAATTGAGGCCCAGGTGGAATTTCTCTCCTTACACTACTAATGACACACTTGACTCCTGTTCCAATGCAATACAATGAAAATACCTGTCAGCTAACAATCACAACAATAGGAGTAATTCAAAAAGAAATTCTAATCTGAATGGGCATCGAATGGTCTCATCTTCTACATTCTTCTTCCTCATCCTCGTTCTTCTCAAGGCTGATGCACTGACCAAATTCTTGGCTGGAAATCATAGACAATGACGGTAAGAGTTATGATACTAAAGGGCTAAGGAGCTAGTACATCGCAGCTGATCAAAACAATTAGTTTTTTTTTATCTGTTGAGACTTAATAGGTAGGCAAGAATCCTGCCAATTCTACTTGTCCTTTAACGTTATTGCATACTGAAATATATTACAATTTGGCGCACAAAGGAAATAAATCTTTAAAGTCTAGGTACATAAAAATGTCACAAAAACATACTGTATCTGTCATGGACTAGACAAAGTACTTCCTGAGGTCAGCTGCCTCCGATGCCATCTCCTCCTCGTTCCTCCATTGGCCTAATCCTTCATGTGTCTCTTGGTCGTGTTTCTGGAGCTTTTAGTGGTTGCATATGGAGGGCGGAAGGGTAAAGATATGAAACAAAAAGCTTACATCAACCTTTATGTTAATGATTGGAAAGAAGTGAACTTTGGTTTAATCTAGTTAATGTTATATTATTTGTAAAACACAAAATCTGCTGTATACAGGTCTTCGTAGGTATTCAGAAATGGAGTCACAGACAGTGTCTTTATGGTTTAACTACCAAAAAAAAATAAGCAATCAAGATTCTATTAGTGGTTTAGAATAGAGTGTTACCAGTAAAGTACTGTACAAGAGTAAATGGTGTAGGTACCATTTATGTTTCAGAATATTATAGGCTTGTAATTTTCAATTTCTGATATGAAGACTTTATATTTTGCTCTGATTTTGTACTTCTAATAGACATCGGTTCTGATCTTGCAAAGGTGACATAAGAGCAAAGAAAATATGGAATGAGCAAGGGCTTTGTGTCTCATCAAGTTCATTTCTTCCACATTATGATTTGTCCTGTCATAAGCACTCAGCGTATTTAAATCTCCTCAAAGATATAACTTAACAGAGAATGCAAGATAAGTTTGAAATGATTCCGAGGCAATCCAGTAAATTGTCACTGTATCAATTTAACGCTGCAGCCGAGAATAATATTCCACAGGTATTGGTTCTATTGATCTAAGAAGACACAAACCACCTCAGTCCATATTATTCCTATAACCTTCAAGTCCATCATTAACCAGATGGTTGGAGAGCAGATAACCTACAATAAACACATTGAATAGTGAACCTGTGGACCAGGCTCCCTAGGGAGACGGTTGAAGCAGGAAGTGTTGATTCTTTCAAACACAGATTAGATAGTTTTCTTTTAGGAAATAACATTATGGGATATAGTACATAGATAGTTCGGGACATATGTGCACGCGACCACCAGGAAGGTGGAAGGTGAACTAGAGACGAACTAGGAGTACTGTAGCTCAGTGGTTAGAGCACTCGCCTCGCAAGCGAGAGACCTGGGTTCGATTCCTGCCAGGGCGAAACCTTGGGCAAATTTCCTTACTCCACATGCCTGTTGATAATCCCTCTAGAAAAAAAAACATTAATAATTTGGTCACTCAATCCACAACTGTTTGTGGGACACTGCTGTGCGCAATTGGCTGCCGCGTTTCGCCCACAAAATATATAGTCAATTCACTTTACAGTATATTCTGTGAAGCGCTTTGAGACATCTAGAAGATGTGAAAAGCCTTATATCAAATGCAAGGATTATTTTTCTATTGATAGATGGACCTTGTTTTTTGTCTAGAATTTCTTATATTCTTATGTTACATCGCTGTTCATTAATAAAAGCTTCCTCCCTTTGTATTCAATATAATAAGATTATGCATTTTAATAATGGCTTATCATGTCCAAAAGTGCTTCACAGATAATTCCCTACTGAGCCAAACTAACACATGCATAAGCATAGCAAGTAGAAGAAAGAAGATTGTACATTTTCTTAGAATAAATGTCAGTCAGTGGATAAATTACAGACATGCATTAGATCCTCATTGGTTTTGGCCTCATGTTTGCAAATAATGTCCAAAACGATCTCAGTAATTCACAAACCATCTGTTATTCTCCATATGGTTCCACATAATAAAACAAGCTGCACTTGCTTTTTAAGTTACGATGCCTGAGGATTTATACCATTTGGTATTCTGTCCTATTCATCATTTAGCATTTATATTACGTATAAAATCCATTGGAAATAAAAGTGTTTTCTATGCTGTGTGACAATTGTTCTACAAAATCACAAATATTGAAAATCCTGGGGTTATAATACAGACAAAAGGTGATATCAAGCCCATATGAGTTGATGCCATGAATAAAAAATAAGGTATGCAGATCAGTTGACATGAGTCCCACAGTGATACTTTGTGCTCTATAGAGCGTCAGCCGAGCTCACTTGGTAACATTCTCACCTCTGAGTCAGAAAGTTGAGGGTTCAAACCCCATGTCTGTCCCTTGAATGCCTAGTCTCGCCTCTGATACAGTGATCGGGTAATGCTGCATTTTTAGAGGTACCTTTGGATGAAACGTTAGACCAATATCTGACTGCCTGTTCAGGTGGACATTAAAGAGCTCATGGTACTATTCGATAAGAGAATCTTATCCTGGCCAACAACCCCCGGATAAAATTGGTCATTCACTTCATGGGACACTGCTGTATGCAAACTGATTGCTGCGTTCATTAAAAAAACACAGTAAGTACACTTTACAGTAATTCCTCTGAAGCGCTTTAAGAAGACTTGACAGCATGATGAGGTGTTATATGAAATGCAAGGATAATTATTGTCGTAGATAATGGTTCTTATGCATGAAAGCACTACATTAGGGTTAGGAATCCCGTAACATTGGTTAGAGCACTCGCCTGGCAAGTGACAGGACCCAGATTTGATTTCTGGGCATGACGAAACCTTTGGCAAGTTACCTTACTCCATATGCCTTACTTAGCAGTAAGTAGAAATTGGTTGTTAGTCGATTGGCGGATCGCTTTCCAGGGATAATAATCCCTTAAAAATTTGGTCACGCATCCACTCTGCTGTGCGTAATTGACTGCTGCGTTTCACCCAGAAAGTACCGTCAATTCACTTCATAGTATATTCTGTGAAAGGCTTTGAGACAGGATTAGTATTATTATTACATTATAGAACACCACACTAGCACAATGGTTTCACCCCTTTATGTAGCCTGCAAAGTTTAGTAACCAAAGTGTTCTAGATGGCCTCTACTTTCAGATCTATCTCTGTAAGTGCAAATCCCTACTCTTCTGGAACTTCACTACTTAGAGCAAACAGGACACATATATTCTCAATTGATTTACTGCTCAATCAATTGAGATGCTTTCCTCAGAGCCTTATTGCATTACCAAGCCACTGAGTTCAGCAACTACCTGTTTTGTGTATTTCCCTACCTCCCTCCTTAAGAATTTAACAGAGGCTCGAAGACACGACTGAGAAGTTACACAAATTGTTATTAGTCCTAGACAACCCTATGTCTACTTAATCTAATCTATATTGATAAAGACGAAATGACTGATTTATATCTCATCGGAAAGGTCTTGCATGGGGGAGCATCATGGGCTTATTTTCTTGGAGGGGATTTCCTATTGTTGATGAGCTATATTAAAAAACATATAACAAAATGCTTTAATTAAGCTCCCAAAAAGGTATGCATGGTATTCTGCAACAAAGTAGTGACAGAGGTCACACACAAATAAAAACAGTGTGCAGTTACAAAATAAAGCAAGCAATTTTGCATGTTTTTCACTGGCACTCGATGAGAGTTGTGATTTCAAAGACACAGCCCAGTTGATAATTTTTATTTGAGGTATCACCAAACATTTTGAGGTCACAGAAGAATTGGCATCAATGCAGTCAATGAAAGATACGACAACTGGAGAAGATGTTTTGGAGGCAGAAAATAAGCGTATCTTAAAATTACGAGTGAAGTAGAAAAATTTGGTGAATGTCACCACCTTAATCTGACAGGAAAAAAAATAAATAATAATCCTTGCATTTGATATAGCACTTTTCACGTCTTCTAGACGTCTCAAAGCACTTCACAGAATATGCTGTAAAGTGAATTGACTGTATATTTGTGGGCGAAACGCGGCAGTCAATTGCGCACAGCAGTGTCCAACAAACAGTCGTAGATTGAAAATGACCAATTTATTATTGTTTTTTGTTTTGGAGGTATTATTATTAGGCTCTGTGTGGAGTAAGGAAACTTGCCCAAGGTTTCGCCCTGCCTGGAATTGAACTCAGGTCTCTCGCTTGCAAAGCGAGTGCTCTAACCACTGAGCTACAGGACTCCACAAAATGTTGGGTTACTGAAAAGAATTCAAGATCAAGTCAAAGAAACAAATCCAGAACAGAATATTGGTTTTCTACACTGCATTATCCACCAAGAGGTCCTCTGTAAGAGTGTTCTAAAACTAAGCAATGTCGTGGACACAGTTACGAAAGTGGTCAACTACACTCGAGCAGAGGATTAAACCACAAGCAATTTGTAACTCTGCTTGAGGAATTGGAATCTGAGCACACAGATATTCTGTATCACACAAATGTAAGATGGCTTAGTTTAGGAAAGGTCTTGAAAAGAGTGTCGGAACTGAGAACAGAGCTTGATTTATTTTTGAGCATGGAACAAAAAGATTCAGATTACGCACAGCTGCATTTGCCGTTGATACCATGGGCCACATGGATGAATTGAATTCAAAACTGCAACGGAAGGGGGCTTTTGTGCACGATTTGTATTGCAGCGTCAAGTCATTTATAATGAAATTATTTATTTTATCGCCGATTCCAGGATTTCAATTTGATCGAAAATGACCTGTCTTTGGTCTCTTCATCTTTCTCATTTGATGTTGACAAAGCCCCATTTGACTTCCAACTTGAGCATATTGATCTGCAATGTGATCCATTGCTTGCGGAGCAATTCAATTCAGTGCCGCTTCTCAGTTTTTACTCCTCTCTTAATGAATATACCTTTCCAAAAATAAAGGCTCATGCCGAGAGGATCCTTGTGCTGTTTTGATCAACATACATACAAGAGGAGACATTTTCTGTGATGAAATTCAATAAATCAAAATATAGATCTGTGATGACTGATGACCACCTTGCAACAGTACTCCACATTGCAACAACGGAGACGATGCCTGACTTCAATTGTCTGGTTAACACACATCAGCGCTTTCATTCTTCTCATTGAGTGAGCTTTTCACATTCTCATCAATATGTGAATAAACAAATAAATATCGAATAAACGTCTGCTCAATGAGTTGTTTTTATTTAACCTAATTTTAATGAATGTCAATTATATACACGTTATTTTATGAATGTACAAGTGTAAGACTTGATTTTGAGCTATTATTAAGCATTTGGATCTATATTAAGTGTGTGGCCCGCGAAGCTTACCAAAACTCATGAAGTGGCCTGCCACCCAAAATAATTGCCCACCCCTGGTCTAACCAATTGACG